TTTTTTCTTTCTGTTTGGAAAACACGGAGAAAACACGCAGCAAGACACGGACTCACATATTCACTACAAACAGTGGCAGGGATTTATTTGCTCAAGGGCAATGTCATACACACAGGCCAGCTGGGACAATTGTGGACAGACCATTAGTGGTAGAGTTTTCACTTGGAAAAATATGTCAACGCTCCACTTTTATCCACCTGCCCGCATTTTGGTCCCCACCTCACTTCCACTGACATATCCAATAGTTGGCAACCTTCGATGCCCAGAGAAATTAAAGGCTAGTTTCAGCGAGTTTTCTGTGCTTTAACCCAGTGTGCGCCCTAACTTCTCTCCACCCGCGGCGCAGAACTGTGCTCAGAGCCACGAACGCTGCCGGCCGCTCCAGCCGGGAGCTCAGACTCAGGGCGCGCTCCGCCGGCCCCGCCGCCCCGAAAACCCGGAGAGCGGATTCTCTCGCGTTCGCTCCCGGAAACTCTCCGGGTCGCCCGCGGCCGCTCCCACCGCGCCTGCGCAGAGGGCGGCGCGCATGCTCAGTGGCGGTCCGGTGGAGGTTTCTGTTGCGGGGCCCGCGGGGCCTCCTAGCGCAACCGGAACTAGCCGTCGCGGGGCCGGCCTCCCTCCTCGCCCGCGGCCTTGTCGTCGTCTCCGGGCCTCCTTCGTCCCTCTCTCCGCTTCACCCTCTCCCCCGAGGCTCCGAAATAGCCGTCATGACCGCGACGGCATGGCCGCGGCTGTTGCTGCTGTCGCTCGTGCTGCTGGGGGCGGCCCCGGGCCCGCGTCGGGGCACCGCTTTCTACCTACCCGGCCTGGCCCCGGTCAACTTCTGTGAGAACGATAAAAAGAGCGACGAGTGCAAGGTGGGCGAGGCCTCCGGCGGGTGGGGCGCCGGGGGTCGCGGAGTCGGAGCGAGGGGAAGGGGGCGTAGCAGTGGGTGGGGTCGGGCGGCCTGAGGGGCACCCGGGGTTGGAGGTTTGGGGGGCGGGGTGGGACGGGTTTTGGGGGCTCGCCCGCCTGCAGCCCCGGTCCCTGGGCGGCGCGCGCTGCTGAGCTTGGGTTTCCTGGGCTGGGGTGTGTCGGTGTGCGGGGCTGCCTCGGAGGGCACGTGTGCTCGGCCACTCCCGGATAGTCGCAGCCCCCGAAGTCACTTTTGACTTGTTCGCTTCCTGCTTCGCTGGACTTGGCTGCAAGGGCTGGTTTGCTATGAGGAATTGTTTCTAGGACTTTGTTCTTCACCATTGACACCCACAGCCATAAAAACTGCACGAAGGCAAGATTGCTGTAGTGGCGTTTAATTTTTGTAAACCACACCCACCCCCTCAAAGGCTTGAATAGGCAAGGATGTGAAAGATCGCATTGCCTACTTTGCCTGAGGAGGTGATGAGAGAGGCTAATGTTTTGTTAGGACAGCTCTGGGAAATAGGGACCCCTCAGGACACTGACACCGGATTTTTCTTTAGCTGTTAGTAGAAGAGAGCAACGGGGAAGTAGCAAGCTTTTGGGCTCCTCGGTGAGGGGTGACAGTAGGCAAACTGCAGTTACATCCTGCGTTCCTAAAACTTGCCCCTTGGCAAATCAAGGGCTCTTTGAAGCTGTTAGAGGCTTTAACACTTCAGTAATGGCCTAGCAAGCCTTTACTGTCCATAAATGGGTTCATTTACTAAGTTGGATTTTTTTAAAAGCTGGTGTTTATTTTATTGCCGCCAGCTTTACTGTAAGCTGTGAATTTTCAGATTGCTTTAGAGAAGCTATTAAATTTTCATGGCGTTTTGCAGTTTCTGGTTAGGTTTGTCAGATGTCCGGAATGACATGTTGATGCAAATGTTTAGCAACTTGTTTGGGTAGGCATGGCTGAGCATCTCTGAGGTGTACTCAAGTGGACACTGAACACTTTGGGACTTAACTCACCCCACCGTGCAAGAAGCAGTGCTTTCACTCCTTTTTAAGCTATCCACATGAAAGAGTGTGGGTGCTTCCAGTGGGAGCTGGCCTGGCAGCATGTTGGTTTTTCTGTGAAAAGTTCTAGTAAGGCTAGTGTTTGATCTTGACTTTGTTTTTAAGGTTTATTTTTATTGAAAAGGCAGATTTTACAGAGACAGAAAAATGTATCCACTGGTTCACTCCAAATGACCACACTGGCCAGAGCTGAGCTGGTCTGAAGCCAGGAGCCAGGAAGATCAGGGTCTCCCATGCCAGTTCAGGGTCCAAAGCACTCAGGTTGTCACTGCTTTCCTAGGTCACAAGCAGGGAGTTGTTTTTTTGTTTTGTTTTTGTTGTTGTTTTTTTTTAAGATTTATTTATTTATTGGAAAGTCAGATATACAGAGAGGAGGAGAGACAGAGAGGAAGATCTGCCGTCCGAGGATTCACTCCCCAAGTGAGCACAACAGCCGATACCATGATCCAAAGCCAGGATCCAGGAACCTCCTCCGGGTATCCCACACAGGTGCAGAGTCCCAAGGCTTTGGACTGTCCTCGAATGCTTTCCCAGGCCACAAGCAGGGAGCTGGATGGGAAGTGGAGCACCCAGGATGTGAACTGGTGTCCACATGGGACATGTTGAGTCACCTCGCCAGCTCCTTTACATTTTCTTTTTAGCAGCAGTCATTAGCTCCTTGCAGATGAAAAATACATTCCTGTCCATCAGGAACCTCAGAGTGAGGGGACATAAGCATATGAACAGATTAATGCATTCTGATATATAAAAGATGCGTGCGCCCAGAGTGGTCTGATATCAGAATTGGGTACATCTGTGGGTTCGAGTCTTCAGGGAAAGCTACAGAGGGGAAGTGACATTTGAAATAAAATGCTGAAACTGAAGGGGTGAAATTTATATACGCTTTGCCAGACACTTTCCCCCTGAAAGTCCTTCCCAGTGGCTGCTGCTGCTGCTTTTTGACTGATTGATTTGAAAGAAGTACTTCTGTAACTTGCCTCCCTCCTCAAAAGCATGTGATAGCAGACACTGGGCCAGACGGAGGCATGGAGCCAGACCCTGCGGGCCTTCCCATGTGGGCACCATCGGCCACTGCTGCTGTGTTCATGGGAAGTCTGGTGTGAGCTGAGCGATAGCCTCAAAGGAGATTGGAGCATCCTGGGCAGTGGCTTAGCCTGCTGCACCATAGCCCTCACCCCTAATTGGCTGTTACTTCATTTGGGAGATGCGTTTGGATTTTTAACTTTTGTAGGTTTTACGATAAAGCAGGCCTGGTAGAACATATTTCTGAAGTGTTTTGGATTTTTCTGTTTGTTGCCAGTTACTTTCAGTGGAAACAGCTTTGGGAAGAGGAGGTTGGATGTGTTTTTAACACTGATTTCCTACAGTTAACTAATTGGTATAGAGGGTTTGAGGTAAAGTTTAATATAATTTCTTGGCTTTAAAGGAGATGTTATAAATGATAGTAAACAGTTACAGTTTTTATCGCTAAAGTAGTATTAACAATGATTTGTTCCCATCAAGTCCATATTTCCATTATTATTATTATCATCCTTATTTGAAAGGTAGAGGTACTGAGAGAGGGAGAAATAGAGAAATTGATCTGCTGGTATATTCCTCAGATGGCTGCACGTGTTAGAGCTGGCCAGGCCAAAGCTGGGAACCAGGAACTTCTTCCAGGTCTTGCACAGGGCTGCAGGGGCCTAAGTGTTTGGGCCATCTTCACTGCTTTGCCAGGCCCATCAGCAGGGAGCTGGACTGGACATGGAGCAGGGTTGCTGATAGTCTTGAATGTATGTATTATTCAGAAAAGCAGAAGAGACTTCTTTAAAAGATTAGAAATGAGAGTTGTGAAAGGGGGGTAATATTTCCAAAAGTCCCTGTTGGGGGGGACTCGGGTTCAGTGAATTATGGCATCAGTTAGAAATAACCATGTGACATGATTTCCTTTGGAGAGTAGTTTGCATTTCTTAGAGGAAAAGTACATTACTAATCATTGTGATATTACAGAAATGAGTAGAGATGGAGCAAGTGGCTCTTCCATGTGAGGGTAACCTATGAGCCATAGTTCTCACAGGTCCTATGCAGTCAGTCCGTGTCCAGGGTTTAGCTCAGTATGTACTCCCAGAAACAACCAGAAAAACCCTGAGGATTGGATCATTTTCCTCCCTTCTTTTGAGTGATTTTTATGTTTAATTTGCTGGGAGACAAAATGAAGTTCAGTAAACACAGAATTTTACTTATATTGCTCCAACTCTGGTTTGTGACCTCAGCCTCACACACGCTGTGATTGTGTTTCTGTGGCTTGTTTTTTTACTTACCGTTATGGGCTGTGCATATATTTGAATATCAATATAGTACACATTCTTACAATTTTATAGACTGTCTAGTATTTCACCCTGTGACTGTGCTGTCTGGTTTAGTTCACTTATAAGACATTTTGGTTCCAAAATTTTCTCTGTTATAAGTAGCTTTGTTAGAATGTATTGATGAGAGGTTATTTATATATTCACAAAGTAAAATTACACATCAAAGGCAAAAGCAGTGTTATACTGTAATACTGCAGATTTATTTCAAGAAGGATAGATTTGAGTTACAGTGCCCTGAGCTGATGATGATTTCTGTGTCTCCACAATACATTAATTTAAAAATATCAACTTAAAAGTTATATGTTGGTACCTCAAATATTTTTACATTACCTTCCTTACTATTGAGGTTTCTATGTTCCCCCCTTCCTTCCCCTATTCTTTTAGATTTGAAAGCATAATAATAAAGGATTGAGCTATAAAATGTCTTTCTTTTAGAATTTGTTGTACCTTCTTAAAATCCTGAGACAGTATGGGACTGCAGTTAGTAGAATAATAGCATGAGTAGAAGTGAGTAGGTCTCCATAGGGTAAAATGTGTGGTGCTAATTTAGTCTGTAGAAGTTTCGACTATTCCGGTTATCTACTGCATGCAGCTTAGCTTGAAATCATGCGGGGTTGAATGACATTCAGATGACTAATACATGAAAATTAGTTAGCAGTTCATCTTCCCTGCTTGTAATTGTCAAGTAAGTATTGACTTGTGCTTGCTTCGGCAGCACATATACTAAAATTGGAATGATACAGAGAAGATTAGCATGGCCCCTGTGCAAGAAAGTATTGGCTTGTCAACTTGAATTCAGACCTAAAAACTATAAGCAGTAATAACATTCTGCTGTTTTACTGTGTGATGTATAAATCATGTTTTTAGAAGAAAGATTCAAGATTTTCCTTCCTATGCAAGAAGCAGCTACCAAACGTTAGTTTAATAACTTTTTGGTAAAAATGAAGCGCAGAGTTGTAGCATTAACCTTGTCTAGGTAGTTAATTTTTAGAATTTTGCAAATTCTGTTACTTTGGAATTATTTTGGAATTATTTCTGTTATTTGTACTTTTAAATATGAAATAGGTGAAATTTAAGAAAATAGTCCTGAATCTTGCTCTGAATAGATGTAAAATAAATGCATATAGTATACCTGTTTTAATCTGACCGTAAGAGTAATGTGAAAATTTTGATGGAAAAGATACAGTTTGTATGTGTGTGTACTTAAAGTTTTCTTTGGAGTAGCATCATTGATTCCTGACCTTATGGAAACTCAACAGTATGTAGGTGTTACAGATACTATTTCAAGTATAAACTCAGGTGTTGCAAAAACACTTTTACCTTGATAAATACACATTCTAACAATTGTTCATTCCTGTGAAAAAGTACATGAAACTGAAAAAGCTTTTGAATGGAATTATTTTAAAACTGTGATTGTTCATTGTGACAAACTGAGGTCATCATCTAGAAAGCAGATAAGGTCCATTGGACTAAACTCCTGCCTTTGCTTGTGGTCAGAGGGAGGTCCCTGCTGACGGTCAGGTGGCCCTGCGGTCACACCTCACAGCCCAGGCAGGGATGGGCTTTGCTCCGGCCGCTGTCCTGCTGTTCTCCAGCCCCTTCCTTCCCAGGGCTGCCTTGCAGGCTTCTGTGACGGGGACCATTGCGGGTACTGTATAGGTACTCAGCAAAGGCATTCTCTGTTGTCATTAGCTAATCCTCCTCCTGTAGCACTGGCATCCCATAGGGGTGCTGCTGGTTCTATCCCGGCTGCTCTGTTGCTGAGAGAGCAACAGAAGATGGCCCAAGTCCTTAGGTACCTGTACCCACACAGGATGCCTGGAGGAAGCTCCTGGCTCCCAAGTTTGGAACAGTCCAGCTGTGACCATTGTGGTTGTTTAGGGAGTGAATCAATCTATGGAATATCTGTCTCTCCTCTGTAAAATCTGCTTTCACATAAAAACTAATATTTAAAGAAAATTTAAGCATTGATGAGAGAGGCTTTGGACGGAATTTGTGAAGTTGGTTTCTTTGCTTCACTCATTCTCACTTTTCAAATTATTTATTGCCCTTGCTAAAAATAATCCTGAAGCGAACAGTTAGTGTGTGCAGATATGTAGGACCTTAACGTTCGTACATGCTGTGCTTCCTAGACAGGGATCCAAGGCGCAGTGAGATGTGGTGACTGTGTTCAGCACTCCTAGAGCGCATAGGGAGACTATGATGTGGACACCTGCAGCCTGCCTGCTTCCCCAGCTGTTCCTTATCACCTTGGAAAGCTGGCTATTTAGGAGATCAGCTTCTGGCCATTCCTGGTCAGGTAACTCAGCTCCTGCACATCCTTTTGAGTTCCAGCGTTCCATTCAGGGATTTTTTGTTGTGTCTGAGTTCACGTTCCTTCAGATTTTTCCCACTGTGGACATCTGATAGAAAAAGTGTTTGGAGTTTGTAAAGCTTCCCGTTTTAAAGGCTGTGCTTCGTGTCATTGCTTCGATTCCTGTACACAGCCACAATTCTTCCCTGAGATCTTTCTCCCTTGAAATCCATTGGTGGATGTGGAGGGGGGCGGATGTAATGGAGGTCAGCACGGTGCAGGCAGAGGGTGTGGCCCACGTACCTCTGAGTCATTAGACCATAGATGTGACCACAGCTGGGATCAGATGGGGAAAGGGCAGATTCAGACTAGAAATTACATTGTGCAGGTCAGAGAAGGATTTGGAAGGGAGATCCTAGAACCTGAAATTACATAAAACCACATGAAACCTTTAGTACAGAATGATAGTCTTACTTTGACTACATGATTCAGAATTCTGAAACTTCCTTAAAATGTTTAATGTTCTTGAAATATCCTGTTTTTAATAGCCTAGCTGGGAGCAGTGTAAAAGCAGGAATGTGCAGGAGGCCTGCACCAAGGAGTAATAGGCTAAGCCTGCACAAGAGATGCCAGCGTTCCTTGTAGGCACCAGTTCCAGTCCCAGCCGCTCCGCTGCTGATCCAGCTCCCTGCTTATGGCTTGGGAAAGCAGCAGAGGATGACCCAAGGCCTTGGGCTCTCGCACCTGTGGGAAGACCCAGAGAAAAAGCTCCTGGCTTTGGGTTAGCTTGGCTCTGGCTGTTGTCTATTTCAGATGTGAATCAGTGGATGGGAGAGCCATCTCTTTCTCTCTCTCTGTCTCCTCTGTAACTCTGCTTTTTAAATAAAAATAAAATAAATCTTTAAATAAAACAAGAATGTGAAGTAACCGACTTTTAAGGCACTTCCTAATGCTGTCAGTGATCATTTATAGTTGGCTGTCTCTGCTTAGGGCAAATTTCCAAAGGGATTTGGTTGGAGAATAAAGACCTGTAGAGAGGAAAATGCCCTTGAGATAAATTAGATATCACCATGTTCTAGCACATGTTGTTTTAATGGTAAGAAAACTAAATCGGGTTAGCATTATTGTGCAGTGGGACCCCATATTGGAGTGCCTAGAATTGAATCTGGCCTTGGCTTCATATCCAGCTTCCTGCCATTCATGTGGGAGACTAGGAGGGAGTTTCTGTCTCCTGGCTTCGGCCTTGCCCAGACGTGGCTGTTGTGGGCACTTAGAGAGTGAACCAATAGGTGGAAAATCTGTCACTCCCGCTCTGTTTCAATCATAAAGAGATTAAAACAAAACTAATACACTAAATTCCATAGACACAATAACCTCACTCTCTACCCCCTGAACGTACAAATAACTTGGTCACTTTTTCCCTTTCCTGTCATGAATTGTACGCCTTGTCTCCGTCAGGACAGTTAACTTCTCTGAAGACAAGCATTCATGATTTTGTGTTACAATATCACTCATAATGCTTAGTGTAGGGCATTGTGAGTATTGAGTGTGTGTGTTTTGACTCAAGTTTCTCATCATTCAGAATTTGCTGTAAATTGCATTGAATTTTCACCTGTTGCAATTTCCACTTTCTCCTCTTTAATCAGTTGATTTTGAATTCATTCTTCTAGATCATCTTTTCACTCTAAAATTTAGTCTTTTTCTAGGTTAAATAAGAGAATTTTCAAAATAAAGAAAATGTGGAAAGAATGGTGCCTGATGGTCAGCTGGACTAGTGTGTTGTTTACGTTTTTCCATGTTTTATTTCTCTGAGCCTTTATATTTTTTGAAGATGAATGTTGTGATTCTATATTTTGACTTGATTGAGCTTCAAGCCCTTTATTAATCCACATCGGCTCTGGCAGTCTCATTTCCCTTCTAGTTTTTGGTTTTAACTTGTTTATTATTATTATTATTATTTTAATTTGAAAGAGTTACTGAGTGGGAGGGAGAAATCTTCCATCTGCTAGTTAACTCATCAGATGAGCTCAGTGATCAGCACTGTGCTAAGTGGAAACTGGGAGTGAGGAGCTTCTGGGTTTCCTACGTGGATGTAGGAGTCAAGCAGGTGGGCCATCTTCTGCTGCTTTGCCAAGGCCGTTAACAGGGAGCTGGATTGGCAGTGGAGCAGCCAGGACACAACAGCTACCCACATGGGATGCTGGCATCGCAGGTAGTGGCTTTACCCACTGTGCCACAGTGCCACCTTCCCCCCGGTTTTTAATGTTTGTTTCACTGCCATATTAGGAGGAGCTCACAGAAAATTCACATTATCTTTTAATTCTGCTCTTCCGCAAACTTTTGATATTCCCTCAGACTTTTGAAATTTCTTGTCTTGCTAGAATGGTTAATATTTAAACTCATTGCAAATGTTGCATCCTTATAAATAAATTGTAAATGGGTCTGATTCCTCCTGAGAATGTTTTTACCTTTAAGTTACTTCAGATAACCCTAACATTTTAGATGAGATTGTAATTCTTAAATTTTCAGGTTCTCACAACTTAAGAAAGATTGAGTGAAAGTGACACAAAAACAACCTAGATGAGTGGAATATTTCGTGTGCTTGATTAAGTCACTGAACAACAGAAGTAGGTTCAAATTAATGGTGAATCAAAGATCAGTTCTCTTATAAAAGTAACCTTGGAAGGGTATCAGGAGACACAAAAAGAAATTAAAGTGAGGAATAAAAACAGGAAAAATGAAGCTGCACTGTTTATGTCTGTAATCCAGTTTTTAAAATTCAATTTATATATATTTTTGGATGGTGTTCACATAGTTGTGAGGGACAGACGCCCGTGTAGCCAGTGGTTAGGGTGGGGAAGCGGATGTGTTCCGGTGTCCTTGTCTGAGTAGCCTGAGTGATCTCCAGCTGCTCGGGCGGTTCTGAACTTGCTTGTTGTCTTTCCTTCCCTGGACTAACAGCCAGGATGAGTTCTGAATGAGCAGACTTCCTGCTGCTGTGTTAGCGTGGTTTGCTGCCCCGCTGGGGGAGGGCTTCCCACTAGGGGAGGGCTGAGGGGGAGGGCTTCCCACTGGGGGAGGGCTGAGGAAGCTGCGAAGGTCGTCATGCTACCAGTCCATGCAGACTCAGGACTGGTCCTTTGATTTCAGGTAGTACAGAGCAGCATTCAGATTGCCATGTGCCAGCTTCTGCACATGTGTGGACTTTGTTCAGTCTCACATTCTTTTTTTAAAAAAAAAATTTTTTTAAGATTTCATTTATTTTCATTGGGAAGTTGTATGTACGGAGAGGAGGAGAGAGAGCTTCGTCCATTATCCCCAAGTGGCTGTAACAGCCGGAGCTAAGCCAATCCAAAGCCAGGCGTCTGGAGCTGCTTCTGGGTCTCCCATGTGGGTGCAGGGTCCCAAGACCTTGGCTGTCCTCAGCTGCTTTCCCAGGCCACAAGCAGGGAGCTAATGGGAAGTGAGGCTGCCGGGACTAGAACCGTTGCCCATATGGGATCCTGGCGCATG